GTGCCTTTTCCCCCACCCGGAGTCCCCAGGGGCTGCCCCAAAGCTGCCCCCAGCCCTGGCACAGTCCAAAGGCCCCTCGCAGGGGCAGTCCTCGGCCTGCGCCTGCCCTTTGTCCCCTGGCCCGCCCAGCCCTTGGGCCTGCAGAGGCCACAGGGCCTGTCATCACGTTTCTCCTCCCAGGTCCCAGGGCTGTCTAGCAGGGACGCCAGGCGACCCATCTGGGTCTCCTCTGTCCTGGCCCACTGCAGTGTCACCATCTTTTAATGCATTTATTAATGTCAGGTGGCACCTGCTTTCCTAGCAAATGCACTTCATGATCCTGATTTTTTTTTTCTAGACACCTGGCTGTTTTGGCGTGTTGTTCTGCCACTGAGGGTTTCTGTTTCTCTACTCAGGGGTGAGGACAGTGACTTTCCTTTTCAAGTGTCATGGCCTTTGTCAGGTCTTGGCATGAGGCTTCTCCTAGCTTTGAAATCTGAAGTGGAAGATGCTGGTGTCTGACTGTTCTTTGCTGTGGAACAGTGTCTCTAGCCGGGGTGTTCCCCGTCCCCTCAAGGTGCCAAATGCTGCAGACCCCGAGTCAGGACCTTGCCCATGAGGGGTCCCTCCCAGGTGACTGCCCCCTTCCCGCTGGCCGCATTGAGGGATTTACAGGATTGATATTGCCCTAAAACCTCACCCCTTTCATAGAAGTCTCTACATGTGTCAGCTCAGGAAACTCAATATTGCCATATTGTCACCTGTAAAGGTCTTGGAGCAGTGCCCATCTCCAAGGTTAACCCCCTCATCCCTCTGTGTGTTCTGCTGCATGAAGCTGATCAGGAGGGGACCAGAGAGGTGCCCGGGGAAGGGGCGAGCCTGAGCCCCAGCAGTGGGGGCCGGGGGTGGGGGACACGGGGAGGAGCAGAGGAGGAGCTGCTCTGGTGGACAAGGGAGGAGGAGGCCCAGGGACACCCAGGTCTGGGCCTGGACAGCCTCGTGGGCAGTGACAGCTGCCCTGCCTGACCACAGAGAGTCCCTGAGAAGAGGGACGGGCCCTAGGGAGAGGAGATGGGCTCCAAATGGACGGCAGCCCCCTGGGCCAGCAGGGCTGGGGGCCGAGACTGGGGCTGCTTCTTCATCCTGGGAGTTCCACCTGTCCCCCCCCCCCAGAGGTCTGTGGGACCTCCTTGCCCTGTCATCCTCGCACCCCAGCTCCATCCTGGCCACCCACAAACAGCCCCCTCGGGAGACAAGAGGGGCCTTAGAGGTGGACTCGGACCCTTTGGGCAGGAAACCCCGGGGTTCCCAACACCCAGAGTGGTCTGGGGGGGTGATGCACAGAGGCTGGTGGGCACAGCCCCACCCTGGGGCGTCCTTGACACAGGGAAGGGCCCTCAAAGGCGGGGACCCCCACCCCCCTCGCCGGCTCTCGGGCCGCTGACAGCAGGGACACGTGTAGCCCAGCGCGCAATAAAGGAAGAAACAGACACGAGATTAAGTAGCCCTTTCTTGTTTATTTCGCAATAAACAAGATTTTTTGCACGTCTGGGAGAGGAAAGAAAACGGGAAATTTAAAAAGAGCGAGAGCTAAGACATTTCTTTGATGTTTTGGTTACAAAATTATCATTACTCCTCCTCCTCGTCCTTCTCCTCTTCCTCCTCTCCTCTTCCTCCTCTCCTCTTCCTCCTCCTCCTCTCCTCCTCCTTCTCTCCTCTCCTCTTCCTCCTCTCTTCCTCCTCCTCCTCTTCTCCTCCTCTTCCTCCTCCTCCTCCTCTTCCTCCTCTCCTCCTCTTCTCTCTCCTCCTCCTCCTTCCTCTCCTCTCCTCCTCTCCTCTTCCTCCTCCTCCTCCTCTTCTCCTCCTCTTCTCTTCCCCTCCTCCTCTTCTTCCTCTCCTTCTGCTTCTCCTCCTCCTCTCTTCTCCTCCTCCCTCCTCCTCCTCCTCCTCTCTCTTCCTCCTCCTCCTCCTTCCTCTTCCTCCTCCTCCTTCTCCTCCTGCCTCTTGTCGTTGTCTTCTCTGTGTCGTCCTGCTCTGTGCTCCTTCCCGCCTCCGTCGCGTCGCTGTTCCGTCCTTCCGTGTCTTGTTCTCTCCTCTCTTCCTTCCCCCCTCCTGCCCCCCTCTCTTCCTCCCCCCTTTCCCCCCCTGCCCTTTGCCCCTCTCCTCTTCCCCTCTCCCTCTCCTCCTTTCCTCGTTCTCTTGCCTCTCTTCTTTTCTTTTCCCCTCCTTTTTCTTTCTCCTCCTTCTTTTTTTTTTGCGCTCCCTTGTTATCCTCTTCTTCCTTTTCCTTGGTTGACCTCTCCCTCCTCCTCCTGGCTTCTCCCCTCTCTTCACTCCTCCTTCTCCTCTCTTCTCCTCCTCCTCTCCTTCTCCCCCCCCCTCCTCTCCTCCTCTCCTTCTCTCCTCCTCCCTCTCCTCCTCCTTCTCCTCCTCCCCCTTCACCTCTTCCTCACCCTTCTCCTCCTCTCATAATTTGGGGCCGAATTAGAGAACATGTCTTAGACTGCTGTCCTTAACTTCCCCGTTTTTTCGTAAACCACACACTACACCAAACACACCGAGGTGTGGATGGGCGGTCAAGATCCATACACTCTCAGCAGAACCTGGTTTACCATAGGTATGGAATGGACCATGTCTGCATGGCGTGAAGACCATTGCGAGCACTGCTGACACTGCTCCGATTGCACTGTGGGTGCACGTGGGTGGTGCTGTAGAATTTGGGTGGGGCGGCCTCATTGTGTGCTGGCAATAGATAATTTGTCTCGTGGGAAGGTGAGATGGCGGCACTCTAAAGGAGGCATCCACTCAGGACCCTCCAGCCCACGGAACTTTACCTGCACTGTGCCAGACGCCCTGGGGACACCTGGGTGTCCCCTCCCCACCCCTCCCCTCCAGATGTATCCCACAGCTAAACGGACACTGCCTAGCACTCGCAGGTGTCTCGCAATGCTTTCTGATCACATGGTGGGTGGGTGATGAACCGATGAATTAATGAGGAGCCGGTCAAGGTTGAACAGCCAGCCTGACCCCTTTTTCTTGTCTTCAGGGGACCTGGCTGTTCCCTACATCATGGAGATGGAGAAAGAATTTGATGGTTTTATGACTCTTAGAATTCTGCATTTGGGGAAACTGAGGAACAGAATCGTCAGCAAGCTCAGTCAAGGTCTCACGCTGAGAGAAAGGCCAGACACGGAACCAGCCGACTGCCTGGCCATGCCAACAATTCTTTTTTTTTGTCTTTATATTTTACTATTTTTGTCGTTTTTTTAATTTTTTTTATTTGCTAACGAACTCAAAATTAGATGAGATGATGACTTGCGGTGGGGGAGCCACGGCCCTGGGGACGGAGGAGGGTGCCGGGTCCGGCAGCAGGAGCTTGGGGAGAGGAAGGGGCTCGGCAGCGACCTCATGGGGCGGGAGGGTCAGGAGTTTGGGGTGCGGGCAAACTGGGGATGAGGGTGGGAAGGTTGGGGGCAAAATCGGGAGGGATCTAGGGGTGAGGCTGGGCCGGTGAGAGAGGACGGAGGTCTGCCGGAGGGGAGGGACTGAAGAGACAGGGCCCCGTGGCTCTGAATGAAGAGATGAAGACCTCGGTGAGGTCGGTCTCATGTGGAGATGATGAAGCAGATGACTGAAGTGTGTGCACGTGGTGAAGGTGATGGCTGAGAAATAAGCACTTGGAGCAAGGCAAACACGGCAGATCATAATAAAGCTAAGAATATAGATCTCTATCTAAATAATTCAAGCAGCAAAATATTTCTAACTGGTACCCAAGGGCTGTTTAGCTGCCCAACCTTAAGAGCTGGAAAGCTAAACAGAACTCTGTCCCATTTCTTTCTATTCTCGCAAAAAAATAGATGCTCTGTTTTTTTGTATTTTTTTTTTAAAAAAAAAGGCAAATTCATAATTCACAAGCTGGCTAGGTCTTTTGGGATCTGAGCATTATTAACTCAGCAACACAAATGTAAATCCATGGCTGTGTCGGCCAGGTCTTGTGCCACTTCTGCCACAGAACTGATAAACACCCCACAAGCAACAATTTCCACTAAGCACTGTGAAAACCTTGGTGAGGGCTGTGTTGCTGCTCAGACTTCGCCAGGGGCACTTGCGGTTCAAAGTGCATTCACATCTCAAGAGACATCTGGAAATCTACAGGTAGGGACCGGGCTGGGGCTCTGGGCGGGCGGGAGTGGGAGCTGTGGGGCTGGCTGCCCAAGTGGCAGCTCCAGATGGCACGCTATGTCCAAAGGGGCTGGTTCTTCCCAAACAGGGGGTGGGCCAGGAGGCCACCCCCCACTCTGAGAAATGCAATTTTAACATCAAGTGGACAATCAGGATAGGCCGAAATTTTTGGGATCACACGATGAGACTCAGTCTTCGTGGGATCCTCACTTTTAGGGTCAGGAAGTATTTTGGTTCATACTCCCCATCGTTCCTAATTCAGAAATTTAGAGCCAGAGAGGACCTCAATGGTTGGTGTTCGAACCCCTCCCTCGAGAGGGGCGAGAAGGTGGACCCGGAATTGGGGTGGGGACTCGCCAAGGGTCACACAGCGAGCGAGTGGCAGGGCTGGGACAGGGTCCCAGCCCCCCAGCAGCCAATCCGGGACTCTCTCTGCCTGACACACAGCCGCTGCACTCTGCAAAATCTCAAATCAACCAGAAAGATCTAAGGGTTGCAGCGTTAAACTTGATGTGAGTGCACGTTGGACATGGCGTGTAAGAATTATCGAACGAAAGAGATTCTAGCCTTTGTCACAGTGGTCGGTCAGAACAACGCTTGATGGTTTCACGAGCACCCCATGACCGAGGCCCCTTGGAAAGGGGTGTCGGGCACAGAGTCCTGGTAATTTCCCTGCGAGGGTTTGTCGCTTTTTTTTTTTTTGTCTTTTTTAGTTTTTTTTCACTTGCTTTAGAGTTTAGAATAACATGCTTATTTCTTTTGCTTGTTTAAAGATGAAATTCTTATTATTCTTTAGCATGCATTAATTGAGAGAAAGGGGATCTTTTAGCATTGCGTTTGTCACACGGCAACACAAGGACAATATACGCAACCACAGCGTTCACCAGATTTGACACAAGATAAAGCGCACTCCACCACAAGGACTAGGACAGACCGCACAAAGCGAACTATGCGAATCCCCGGGGATGGGGCGGGAGGCTGTGGGACGCTGCTCAGATGGCATCCTCCATGGTATCCCGGTTGAAGGTGGTCATGTCGACCTTCTCCGGGAGCACGATGTTGACCGTCAGGTCATCGCCGCTCTGGTAGTGCAGGAGCACGCTGCTGCTCTCGCGGAAGGGCCAGTGCTTGCGCACGAAGGACGTCAGGCATTCGCACTTGTTGAGGAAGAAGAGGCCCAAGAGGCCCAGCAGCCCCAGAGTGGTGATCACTCCCAGGATGGTGAAGCAGATAGCCTGTCCCTCAGTGAGGAGAGGGGTGTTCTTGTTGACCCCCTTCACGGACACCTTCAGGATATGGTGCTCGGGCTTTGCCACTAGCTGCTCATGCACCCCGGGGGTCACGCGGTAGGTCAGCCCGTAACCGCCCGGCAGATGGGCGACCTGCGGGGGACCCACCGCGCGCTTCTTGACACAGGCGGGCCCCGTGAACTCGGGCTTGCACAGACACTCGAAGCTCACCTGGGAGTGCTGCATGCAGGCGCCCCCGTTCAGGCACGGGATGCCGCCGCAGGTGTTCACGGACTGGCTGCAGGTCTTGTCGATGAAGCCGGCCGGGCAGCGGCAGCGGAAGTCGCCCCCGATGTCGGTGCAGACGCCGTCATTCTTGCACGGGTTGGGGTCGCAGCTGTTGGTCACGATCTCGCAGAAGTTGCCTGCAAAGCCAGGGCGGCACAGGCAGGAGGGGAAGTCGGCCTCGCCCTCGTCATCCACGCAGTAGCCTCTGTTCTTGCAGGGGGACCTGCAACGCAAGGTGACACGGCGAAGGGTCCTCAGGGGCTGGGCTGGGACAGTGCTGCGGGGATCGGTGGGGGCAGGCGCCCGGCCCCACTCTCCCTCCACACATGTCGCAAACTGGTGCAGAAGGTCCCGGCCTGACAGAAGGGCAGGTGCTCAACAGGTATTTAGTGAGGGAGGGAGCAAGGGAGGCACAGGGAGTCGCCCAGGACCATGTGGCCTGTCTGCAAGGGGCTCACCGGCTGCTCGAGGCGGGGTGCGCACCTCACCCTCGTCACCATGCCAACGTTGCACACACCTGACCTCCCGCGCCAGGATGCCCATGTCCCCTCCCATCTCTTATTTCATCTCTCCGACCAGAGGACTGATGGGTAGTCACTAGACAGATGGGGAAACTGAGGCTGGGAGAGGAAAAGCTAGTGACAGCCCAGATCTAGAGCAAGCCCCCTTCCCTTAGCTCTCCCCCTGGTGGCTATGGCAGAACTCACTCCTCCCAGGACCTGCCATCGTCCCTGCCCATGGCCACCACCACCCTGCCTTACTACCTGTACTTTCACTTTCCGTGGAGCGGCCCACAGGCTGCTGTGCAGGAAACCCCAAGGGTCTCTTAGAGCGAAAGAAAGACAAGGCCTGACCACGCCTGTGTGAACCTGCGTCTGTGCCCAGCTGTGTGATGGTGGTCCCTTCGCTGGGGGTAAGCTTGCAAACTGAAGACGGTTGCTCACAGCAGGGCACAAGGAGCATTTAATGTAAGCGCTTTTAAATGACCAAGCCCTTTGTCATCTGATAAATACCAAAACTCCAGGGAGGAGGGGGCTAGACTTTTGGAATCAGCGTTGCTGTTCAGGGTGCAGGGCTCTGGAGGAATTCCAAGGACTGGGGGGGGGCTCTATTTTGACAGATTGGCTTAAGTCTGTTTGAGACAAAAGCAAAATATTTTAAAGGTCTCACTCTGTTGTATTTTTTTTTTGCCCCTTCTTGCTAATAAGCAGAAATGGAGTTCAGCTGTCACACCCTCTCTTTTGACCCTGGCTAAATACTGGCCTTCAGAAGCCTCATTAATGCCTGTTCAGAGCTCGTGCAGACTCCTGGGTCCGCCGTGCCCCCTGGAACCCCAGGTCAAGGTACGCCCATTCTGCATGTTAGCCTCTGTGTCCTCAAAGGGGAGAGACACCCCCAGCCCCAGCCCAAGACTGGGTTCAAGTGTGGACTCCTGAGAGGGCAGTGGCCTTTCTGGTTGTGTGTCTGCCCAAACAGAATTGCCAGAGCCTCCTCCCCACTGAGGGCAGCTGAGAGCTGACCCACCCCCTCCCATGCCCCTCCACCTCCTCAACCTGGCAGCTCTCTCCCCAGACATCCCAGAAAATCCAACTGCAGAGATCACTGGTTCCCCAAAACCACTGCTTAAAATATGGTAAGTGGTTTCGCAAACAGCCTGGGCCCCGGTGAACTCTGATCTCTTATTATGTTGCCTTTAGAAAATTATGCAGTACTGCACAGTGTTCCACCATCCCAATTGACTGTCATTCACACACATCAGGACTCGGGGACGTCAGGGGAATATGAAATCGCCTTCAGGATTATGAAATGACACATTCCCCCATAAATACCCCATCTAGGGTGGCCCCCCATGGGGCTGCTGGGATGAGCACTTACTTCCATCTTGTGTCAGGCAGAGGTCCAGCAGGGTTAGGCTGAAAGGGTCTTTAGGGGGTGGAGAGCAGGAATCTGAAGCAGCATTCATCAGCTCACACAGCCAGAGCGGGGATACTTACCCTTGGATGGCACAGGGCCCGTGGGTTCTCTCACAGGTCAGTCCCGCAAAGCCACGGGGGCAGGAGCATAGGAAGGAGCCGTCGTTCAGGTCCATGCAGTTCCCTTCGTTGGCACAGGGGCTCGAGTTACAAGGCCGGAGGTCTGTGGGGTGGGGGGAGGGGGGAAGCAGAGAAGACCGGACCTTAGCAGCCCCTCCTAATGCAAGTGACAGGCGAGCTGCCCAATGGCTCTGCTGTGGCCACCAACTGGGGTCCAGAGTAAGGGGGTATAGGGATCCCCCCAATAAAAACCCCAAAGTGAGTAAACTGAGACTCAGAAGGCTGAAGGGGCTTCCTTGTGTAAGGTTACAGGCCAGAAAGTAGTCATGGTCACTGACACTCTCCTGGCACCAGGTCACCTCTCACGCCCAGCAACATGTCCCTGACCTGCTGCAGGGACATGTTGTGCTGCGCCCCTCCCCACAAGGCTCCCCAGGCTGTCTCCTGCAGACAAGATTTCATACCCAGCTTCCCCAGTGGGGGGACTAGTACAGCCCGACCCTTGAAAAACCACCTGCTCTTCCTGCTTTTCCATCAAAGAGGGGCAGTGGGGGGAGGATGAAGACGTAAAGACCCCCATGGGGAACCAAGAAACCTGGCTGAGCCTCGGCACTGCCCCTCCTCCCCGCGGTCTCTCGTTCTGCTCCGAGGTTCTGAACTAAAGGGGCCACGATAAAAAGGCTGCATCTTTTGAAGGCAGGAAAATTAGAACTATTGAGCGCTCTGACAGCACGGGTTTCCATGAACACTGGTATATTTCCACTGCCTTTTCACACCTCCCGTCATGCTCGCTTCATTATTCAGGCTCAGCAACCATGGGCGCGCTGAACACAGGGGCCCGGGTCAGGGGCTCTCTGACGGTGGAGACCCCAGCTCCCCAGCAGGGCCAGGAGGGGCCCTTTGTCTTGCCCTGTGTCCAATCTGCTGCCGTGTGGCAGCAGAGTCCAGCTCCTCCCCACCCGGTGCCTCAGTTTCCCTATTTATAAAAGGAGGGGCTCCCCCTGGCTGGTCTCTAAGGGACCTTTTCAGCTTTGGCTTTCTGTCATTTGAGCTGCTGCACCTGCCAACCAGAAAGCAGGGCCAGCCAGAGACAGAGAGGTCAAAGCGGGTGTGTGTGGGGGGGTGTCCCGGGGCCATGCGTGCGTCTTTCCTCCCTCCTTCAAAGCCCTCTGCTCCCTCGTGGAGGGAAGGCCGCAGTCAATCAAGAAGGAAACCCGGCATGGCACGAGGGGACATGAGGAGGATTTATCTTTACAGGACGGCACCGGCAAAGTGTCGGCACGCAGCGGGCTCCTAATTCTCTGCTCCCGGCTCTCCTGTCACTCGCAATCTTAAATTTAAGCTAAAGAGCTGGCAACCACCCCCCGCCCATCCCCGCTGCTGTCCCACAGCATCAGCCCTTCAGGCCTCCGACCACAGAGCAGGGCGGATTAAGCCGCTCCAAGGAGGAGGCTGCTGGGGGGTCTCTGCCCAGACAGCAGCTGTGGCCATGACAGCCTCAAGGTGGGCAAAAAGGGAGAGAGAAGGCTGCTTCCTCCCCAAGACCCCATTCCTAAGCACACTGCCTAAGCACTGCAGCCATTCCTAAGCACACTGCCTTCATCAACCTGGCTGGGAGGAGGAGTGCCCGGGGCCCACGGGGGTAGGGGGTAGGGATGGGGCTGGTCTGGAAACTCCAGCCTAGGTGTACTGTGTTCAGATACCAAAGAGAGTGGGCTCCCGGCTGAAAGCCTAACCCTGATCCCCAGCAGGGGCTTTGCTGAGCCCTCCTGGCTCCCCAAACGGCTCAGAGCTGCTGCTGCTGCTGCCGCCGCTGTGAGGGGCATCAGAGCTGCAGCATGAGTCAGCTATGCGGGGGCTCTGCACCATATCTGGGGGGAAGTAAGGGCCAGAGATAATTCAGGGTGGGGGAGCTCCACTCTGAAAGCCAGCTGCCTTGGCTACAGAGGGCAGGGGCCACAACAACATGCTCTTGGGTTTTCCTTAAGGGAGGGTGTTAGAAGCAGTCGCAGATGAAAATTAATCCTATTTCTGAGGCCAGGGGAAGGGGTCTTAGCTGGCTTCTCTCCTGCCTGCCTATCCTTTGGCAGATCTTTTTGCTTCTCTGATCCTCAGTTTCCCTATTTGTACCACGCATCTCTGCTAATGGGGACTGAGAGGAACAGGGCTCCTGAGGCAGCTGCCTGCACTGAGTTTCCCAGACCTTAGGGCAGGTTTTGCCAAATGAGAATGGGCTCAAGTGAATATTCTGCAGCCTGAAAATGCAGCCACAGCCAACTCTCAATTGCTCAGGGTAATGGAGGCAAAGATTGCATAAATTAATGAAATCAACAGATAACATCAATCTGCACTTTAACCCCCTCCCAGCCTTTCCTAGCCCCCAGCCTCCCCTGCCCCTCAAATCGGCAGCCCAGTCCTCATGATCCTGACGCAGTCCTGCTCCCCACACCCCTCCCCCACTTGTTTGCTCGCAGGCAGCCTCCCAACAGTCTTGTGTGCAACGTTCTTGGAGTATATGCTCTAAGATGCCCTGAGCTCTTTCCCATCTCTGAGCTTTAGTGACCTGGCGAGGCTGCCTGGGGTCTGGGGCCCCCCTCCCCCGGCTCAGTCGTGTGTGTTTATTTTGTGACTCTTTATTCAACAGGCAGTTCCTCCAACCCCCACCCCAGTGCCTTCGCTGGGTGCTGGGTGCTGGTGGTGCACAGGTGAGCAAAATAAAGTCCCTACCTTGGAGGAGGCATCTGGCGCCAGCAGGAAGTGTATAAACACATCACCGCAATACAGCTGTGCTGGTGTGTTGGGATGGGGGAAGGGAGGCTGGCAGCCACTGGGCTGGGGGCTGAGGGCAGGGAGGCAAGGAGCGGGGCAGGGCAGGGGGGAGCAGTGAGCAAAGGTGAGTGCCAACCTATCTCGCAGAAGTCTCCGCCCCAGCCATCGCTGCAAAGGCAATCCCAGGGTTCTTCACAGATTCCGTAAACGCAGCCAGGATTGGTCATGCATTGGTCACACAGGGCACCCTGCCAGCCAGGCTTGCACCTGTGGGGTCAGGGTAAGAAAGATGGGGACATATGAGGGGAAGCAGGGGTGGGGAGGGATCTCAGGCCACTTTCTGTGAACTGAGAGCCCTCGGGGGTCTTTGTACAGTTTCAGACCAGTGGTCCCAGGAAGCGAACACCAGCCACCTGAATGGAAAAACTTAAAAGGGAGAACACAGAGGGGCAGATACAGAGGACTCCCCCGCCCCCAGGGCCCGGGAGAGCGCTGCGCAGCGGCCTGCAGTGGTCTCACCCTACCAGGGGCTCTCCTGCCACGCCACTTGTGAGGAAGCAGACGGCCCCCACCCGTGCCCTCTTCTCTTCCCCCCCCCCACTCCCGCCAGTTTTCTGCAGGGGTGAGGAAGCTGTCTGCCGCAGTGGCCAAGCCCCCACTGTTTTTCTGCCTGACTTCATGACTCCCCAGGATTCTGGCCCCCACAAGCTGCCTGTGAGGAGTCACTCTGTTACCTGCAAATACTGTCTTCGTCACAGTGTCCACGTGCGGGGTCACAGTTCAGGAGGCATTCAGATCCTGAGGCACAAGAAAGGTTATAAAATTCACCCCACAAGGCCCCAGAGACCAGGGCGAAGCCCATCTTCCCCCTAATGGCCCCCGCCTCCCTCGAGGGACCCGACAGCCCTCTTGGGTCCTGCCAGCCTGGCACACAGCAGGCACTTCACATCCGTGCGTGGACATGGCCCAGTCCACTCAGGGAAAACCTCTGCCATGTTCCTGGCTATGGGATGACCACAGCACACTCCCTAGATCTTAGGAGCAGGACAGACACCTTCCCCCTGCCCCCGAAAGGAAACACGAAACCTCAGATCCTCCTAAAAGGAGGGATGGGAGACACTGCAGGGCAGAGCTGACCCGGGGCCTTCAGCCAAACCCTCACTTTTGCAAAGTGAGCTGAATGGGGAGCAGATTTTGACGTGTTCAGTTTTGGGAAAGCCTAGACAGGTTCACCTGGTGGGCTCACAGGTAAGGCATCTGGATTTTTTTTTTAAGGTTCACCCCAGTTAAGCCAGGCACGCAGGCCTAATCCCCCACCCCCACCCCAGACTCTTCACGCTGAAAAGATGACGACGCCAACAACTACGACGCCAACAACTACGCCACAAGGTTTTACAGAGCAGACTGAGGGGCTGCAACGCTGTTTAGAGACTCCGACACTTCAACAGGCACCTACTGTGTGTGTGTACTCAACCAGCTCACCAGCCTTCCCCACAGCCCCCCAAAAACCACTGGCGCAGTGGGGGGGGGCGCTGCGGGAAGGGGGCAACTCTCTCGCTGTCAGAGACAGATGGCCGCTGCAGACAGAAGTGTCGCAGCCCCTTACCTAGAGAAACGCGCCACGCAGGAGGGGCTCAGGCAGGGCTCTCACTGGGAATTGGGGGCTACGACGGCAAAGTCTCCCCCCACGGCCCCCAAAGACCTGTTCCCACATGCGCACGCAGAGACACCCCAAAGTTGCACCCCACAGCATTTTCACAGAAGACGCCCAGCATCACCTCGTTTTTTCCATACCTCCTCTCTCAGCGCACGGACACCCCTCCGAGTGCCACTTCTGTGGGGCGGGAAGGGGCTGGGGGTCCCGCACCTCCCCTGCTCTCCCGGGGACCCCAGGGCCCGGCTTGGCATGCAAGGGTGGTGGGCAGGGCGAGGGAGGCACCGTGCGGGGCTAAGGGTTAGGCGGGACGGGCGGGAGTTTGGGCGCGCGGGACGGAGCGTGCAGGGCGCCCGGCGGCCAGCGGGGCGTCGCAGGCTTCCCCAGAGGGGGCGCGAGCCGGGCCGCCGGTGGGGGGCTCACCATGGTTGGTGTGGCCGAAAGCCAGCAGGAGCAAGAGGACGGGCAGGAGGGCTTTGGTCGCGGTCATCGCGCGGCGGCGGGGGTCGCGGTCCGGGGAACGGCGCGGGCGCGGGTCCTGCTCCTGGTGCCGTGCTGGGCTTCTGGTTGCGGACGCCGAAGGGAGAGCGGGCAGGCAGCAAGGGGAAAGCCAGGGCTGCGCCGCGCTCTCCACCACTGCCGCCGAGGAGCTGCCGCCGCCGCCGCGCGCGCCGCCCTTTTCGTACCGCCCCCCCCCCCGCGGCCCCCGCCCCCCCGCCCCCGCCTTCGCGCGCACGGGGCCGGCGCCGGCCAGTCCCAGTGACCCCCAGCCCCCCATGGGGCCGCCCCCCACCACTGCAGCGGCCGGAAGCCAGCTCGCTCACGGGGGTGCACTCTTGGCTAGACGGGCACAGGTACCTCGCGCACGTTGGGCGCTCGTTGCGCACACGGGACAGCACACGGGTGGCTACGCACGGGCCTGCTCTGGACAAGTCGCGTGAACCGGACCCTGGCCGGGCCGAAGACCCCCAGGAAAACACAAGTGCGCACTCGGAATACAGAAACGCAAGCAGAAACACCAAAACACTCATTGCCAAGGTCCCAAGCATGCGTGCCATAGGTCATATGCCCAGAAAAGCACAGATACACACTGTTAAAATGTGGACTACGCACATAACCAAACACGCACACAGCAAGACAGTTAGGAAGAGCCTGATGTCCCCTGTATCCATAGCCATGGTGCGGCAGGAAAATGTAGATGCACTTGTAGCAACACACACCCTTCAACACAAACGCACTGCAACCAAACACACGTTATAGAGACAGGCCGGAGCGCCACATGCTTAGTCATGGGCAGAGAGAGGCGGACACGCAGTTATGAAACCCTTGGCGTCCTCCACCTGTAGCGGCCCCTCCACGCAGAAGCACACGCAGAGCCACATGCACACCTAAACACACAAATACTTGTAAACATGCAGACACCCATACGAACGTTCAGTTACACCCGCCCCCACACACACACACACACACACACACAGCGTCGTCACAGGAAGAGTCTTAGTCATGCTGAAACACAAACACACGCACTCTTGAACACACATGAACACTCAGCCACACACCTGATATCCATAAGCACACATTCCCAGTCCCCAAAACTCACGAATCACAGACTCTTGGCCACATGCTTACAATAACACACATATGCAGTCACCGGACACAAACACACACAGTCGCATCCATCTTTGTCCACAGTGGCGTGTGTGGGCAGCCTCACCAATGTGCCGTGTCTCTTTCTCTCTCTCTCTCTCTCTCTCTCTGTCTCTCTCTCTCTCACTCTCTCTCACACACACACATACACAGGCACACACACACATACGGTTGCACACCAGGCAGTCAGCACATGCTCCAGACCCACTGGGAGGCCTTCACTCAGTGGTCTGGAGGGCCTGGGGGTGGGGGATGCTGGACTCCGGCAGAGACCCTCCAGCAGAGCTCCTGGGGGAGGGGGCGCTCGCTCGCAGGCATCCCTCCTCCCCACCGGCCCCCAGCCTCAGCCTCTGCTCCGAGCCTTATGCTGGCTCAGCAGCGTCCCCTCCCTCCCTAGCTGGATCGCAGGCTAAGGAAGATAGGGAGGGAGAGGGCTGGAAGGGGATTAAAGGTGTTTAACCTCCTGCGGAAGGGTTCCAGGTGGTCTGGAGATCTTTGGATGGGTCGTTTGAGATGCCTAATTTGCATAAATTGCATATAGCTCCTAGAAGCTGGGAGTGGGTAGCCCGCCCCCACCCTGTTCACAGCTCCCCCTTCCCCACAGAGCTGGGGGGAGGTCATTGCTACTCTGAGCCTAGGGGTGGGTCCTTTGGCTTCCAGGCCATTTAACTGGTCCCTCACAGGTTTGAGGACATGTTTGCCATCCTAGGGGTAGGTGTGGGGAGGCAGGCCAGAGGGAGCCCCCAGATTCACCAGCTCTAAATCAGTGCTCCAGAAAGGAAGGGGGGAGAAGGGGGAGCACCTGACAGGACAGAGACCCAGGAGCTGCTCTGGGCTGGCTCCAGGGAGGCTGGAGGAAAGCCCCAGCCCCTTGTGGAAGGTGTCCCTTCCCTAGTGTTATCCACAGAACACCCAGATAGGTGAAGGCTTCTGGGAAGGGCTTTGGGGGCAGGCTGGGGAAAGCAGTTGGGGTGCTCACCACGTGCCCACCACATGCCCCTGTATTTGCTGACCCTGCTCTCTTCCACAGACTCTTTCCTAAGTCAAGGAACTGAGTGCAACAATGGAAGGTCTTTTGCCCAAGGATCCTGGCCTAGAACAAGAGTGACCAACAAGCCCAAGCCTGGAAGTCCCAGTAGCCACCGGTGCGGCAGTTGCCAAGGTCTCCCTGACCCACCTCTCTCTCTCCCCTCCCTTTGAGGGCCCTGACCTCAGTCTCCAAAATTATCCCGTGCAGCAGGCAGACCGGGAAGGGCTGAGTTCTCAGCCAGAAGCCAAGGAGGGGTGGAGGATCTTAGGGCCAGCACCCTGGAGTGAGGGCTCCCTAGGTTCCTCCCAAAGTCACACAAGGAGGGGCTGCGGACTGGGGGAGCACGAAGGGGACCCCAGTGGCCATCGAGTGTGCCCCCCACCTAGGTTCCTCCCTTCCCCACCCAGGTCCTTTCCAGCCCACAGCCTTCCCCAGTTCGGGAAGGGAGGGAGGCGGAGGAGGGCATTCTCACCCGAGGGAGTCGGTGTCCAAATGTCAGAGGCTTAAACCAAAAGGGCACTCCCTTGGCTGAGGGACATCTGCTCTCTAATCCCATCTCCATCCCTCGCCTGCTGAGGGCCCTGGGCTGGTCACTTCCTCTAGGAGCCCTGTTTCCTTGTCTATAAACAGGGATGCCACACCTGTCCCCAAAGGGAACAGGTTTTATGAGCAGAAAAACTCGGTGCTTCCAAGGCCTGGCCACAGACACTGCCACCTTTTCCTCCAACAGCTGCAGCTCGGGGCCTCTGCCCCAGACAGCTAGAGCAAGGGGTGCAGCCGTCCCCCAACCTGGGCCCTGCAAGGGCCCCTACTGGGCTGCTTTGGAGAGGGGGAGGGGACTTTCCTGTCTAACAGGACCTACAAGCCGGGGAGCTTTCTGTTGGTTTTCTCTAGTCTCAATAAAGGATTTGTAAATTCAGGAGGCCAGAGAATTCTTTTCAGCAAGCAGACGCTGAGAAAGGGTAGCTTAGGAGCAGTAGGGAGGGGAGATTGGTGACTGTCACAGACTTAAGTCTGCACAGAAAACACGAAAATGCCAATCTAGTCCCTTGGGGAGAAGCCAGCACCGTCTGCTCTTTGCATACAGACCCTGGGGGCTGGGGAGCATTGGGCTGGAGGAGTCAGATGCCCCCTGCTTTGTCTGTGCGTCCTTCCCCCCTCCTTTAGAGAGCGAGGCTCTGTGTACAGCCCCTGGGATCGCCAGGGGAGGCAGACAGCCTGTGGGTCATCACAGCATGGCATGGCAGGTAGTCTATGCAGGTAGCAGGGACTGGACCTGTCAACTGTAGGGTCTGATGCAGAGCCTGGGCTTCCATCAGCGGCTCTGCCTATGGCCCCCCTATTCCCCCAACACCAGCTGGCTCCCCAGGGAAGGAGCTGAAAGCAAGGGGCATGTGCACTGCTCACTGGGCTTCGCTGGGACAGCAAAAGAGCCGGTGGTGGGTGAAAGTTTTCTGGGGGGACCAAAGAAATGTTGTCTGCAGCCCTTTTCTTCCCCCTCCACAGCCCCTCCTCCCTCGTCCTCGCCCCCTCCCCCGTTCCCAGACGCTAACTCCACCCCCAGCCAGCCCCAGACCACTTCTCCCCTGATTAAAGGCGGAATCGGCTGATGGGGAAGCTCGGCAGGGTTGAGCTCCTGGGAGACTAGCTAGTCCCAGGCACGCACAGCGGGTGGGTGGCCGGGGGCTTCACCCACCCCTCCATCGCCTCTGTGCCGCCCCCCCCCAGCTCCAGGCCTCTAGGAGGCTTTGTTTCTGCCCAAACAGGATCGTGTTTTTCGAAGGTGCCTGAGCCCCGCTGATCCAGTCCTGGTGGACATGGTACAGACAAGAAAACTGAGGCCCCCGTCCCGCGTGTGTTCTCCATCCCCCCTCCAGGAGGGGACAGGAGCTCCCCGGTCCCAAAGGGGCTGCTCACTCACAAAGGCAAGGACCAGAGCCCAGAGTCTGGGGTCACCTAGTTAGAGTCCTGGGACTGCAACATCCTGGAGGCACCTGGAGAGGGATCTCCCCCACCAAGAAGCCACAGTCCCTGGGTCCAGGGCTTTCCGGGCAAGCAGGCACTGCCTTTTCTGCCTCTCCCTGACCTCCCCCTCAGGTTGGGATTCCGGTTTAGCCCCATCTCCTCACAGCCTGAGCTGGGTGGGGATCGCAAGGCCCATTGCAGAGCCGAGCTGGCTGAGGCGTGGAGACCCCCAGGGAGACTCGCTGATGCGAAGCAGCGCTGGGATGCAGCCTGGGTCTGCTAGGCACCGTGCCAGGCCCTCTGCACAGCCCCGGGGAGCAGTTAGCTCGCAGGGCCCGGAGGAGCATGGGGAGGCCCTGCCCTCCGTCTCTGCCCGGGGGATGGCTCCGCAACCTGGGGGCCGTGGGCTTCACGCAGATGCCGAAGAGGTGCTCAGCTGCCACCCTTCGGATTATTTTTCCAAGCCTGAATTTCGCCTTCGGAGAGAAAAATTCTCATTTCTTCCTGCTGAGGGGAGGGGGCCTGGGGGCGGAGGATGGAGGGAGATGAGAGGCACCCTGGTACATTTTCGAGAACATGACGGCTGGGTTTCAAGTTCAATCAGAGAGAAGGCTCTTCAGTCTGAAGTGGACGCGCACAGCCGAGCCGGGGACATGGCCGAGGAGGGTCACACACCCTGCGTGGTCCCTGCGTGTCCCGAGTCCCTAAAGCAGGCCTGCGTGTGACTCAGGGGAGAAGGAGCTTGGGCCCCCAAACCCTGTAGCAGGCTCCGGGGAGGGGAGGGAAAATGCAGAGAGGGGAGCCAGGGCCTGGGCAGACGCAGGTTTGCGTTCGTGCTCGGTGTTGGCTTCTGTGGGGTCACACTCTCCCCCCAAATAGAACCGATGCCTCGTCATTGATGATGGGATTCAAAAATAGACTCCTCGCTTCCTTCCTCACCATCGGAATCAACAGGGATGTCAGGATCACAAGTCTAATTGTCCCCGTCATCAATCGAATTATCCTCTTAAAGGGCGCAACTGAGTCATCCCTGCGTGGGGAGCTCTCAGGGGTCCTCCGGAGGGGTTAGTGACAGCTCCTCATCCCACTCCCACACCTGTAGGTAAACCCACCTCGGGGGGCCGGGGGCCCTTGTGGGGGGAAGCAGAGCCTCGGGAAAAAGAAGTTTTTTTCATCACTTAGCCTGTCTGTGCAGGCTTGGCAAAACGTATAGTGATTCTTCATCAGAAATTCCCAGAAGTTAATTTTCCATAAAACAGAGGCTCGCCTCTTTAAATGTAGCCTTTCATCTGCTCAGCATAGACTGAGCTCCTACTGTATGCCTCTGCTCAGGGGCCGTAGGCCAGGGGTCCCACAAGGATGAATGTCACGGTGTCCCCTCATTTCAAAGAGCTCAGGCCGAGAGCCCCTGAGATTTGGGGGTGTGCGTGCTGAGAGGGAGGTGAGCAGAAGAAAGGCTGGGTGCACATGGGGACGGGAGAGCACACTTCTGGGAGGGGCAGTACAGAAATGTCCCTCCGTCCTCCTGCAGCTGCGAGGCCTCCCCTCTCAGTCACAGAGCTGGATAATGGGGCCCAGAGAGGTTCAGCCATTCTCCCTGGGTCACACAGCAAGGATCCAGAGTTCTCTGGAGTGATGCCAGTGTGGAGGGACTTCTGGGGGGAGGAGTGTCACAGGGGGAGGTGCCCGAACAGAGTCGGTTGCTCTATCAGCAAGGGCACAGCTAGTGCGGTGACGAATGGGTCTGGAGAATGTGGCAAAACACGCAACAAGCTGGACGTACATCTCCCTTAATTGTTCTTGCACGTTCTATAGCCTGCCCTGCCCTGGTAGACAGAGTCCGTATGTCAAGAACCCCCAGTTTCTGACTGCAGGGTCAGCCTGTGAACACACCATGCCCAGGCTTGACGCCAGTCTCGGAATCACGCAGGGCCCCTGCCGCCCCGACCCCGGGAGCGCCGGCCTCCGGGCCGCCGCCCAGCCGGCGAGCAAGGAGAAGCAGGCGGCCGCCTGTGGTCACAGCTGAAACCGCCTTCCCAGGCCGGGAGCCCCTGGAAGGCAAACCCCCTCCCCGTCCCAGCGTAAGAGTTTGTGTGTTGATCGTGGCGGGGTCACATCCGGGCCGCATCCGGGTCACATCCCGGCCGCATCCGGGTCACATCCCGGCCGCATCCGGGCCGCGAAAGGGAGACGGTGAATTGCGGCTTGGCCCTCCGTGCCTGTTGACAGGAAGCACTGTCAAGTTTAGGGATGTGAG